TACAGCAGAACTTTTGGTTTGCTCTACCAAAAAGCCTCGCCTCAGAATGAGGGTGAGATTACCTTATGGAGCTGCCCTAAAGCTCTTAGGAAAAACTCCTTGTGCAGTTATTAGGCACTGTCTCAAAGGCATCAGCATTGATTTGTCAGGAGTCAAAAGCGGTGTGGCCTGAGCTTCATTTCTTTTCAGCTTTTCATTGGAGCTGATATTCCTCTGTTTCACACTCATCACCTAACTCTCACACAATTTTCCCCCTTCTTAAGTTTTTAAAGCTGCTTCTTTTAAGTTTACCTTGAGCATTTTTTAATGATATCAATGTTTCTCTCTTGAATCTTAAGCCCAACTCAATCTCACAAGCTTTTTTTCCACACCTGAAGCCATCTCCCAGCATAAGGTCCATTCTCCCTTGTTTTTTAAAGGGTTTTAGAGTAATTCGTTGATAAACAGTATTAGTGTTTTAACTATCTCCTGAGAGGCAAGCTGTTTGTTCTTAGTCTTTGGGAAGTGAAGAAAAGCTTTCTAGCACTGCTTATTAAGGAAACTTTGCTTTGAGCTTAAAAAACAGTTTTGTCGGGCAGTACCACCATTTTGATCTGAAAAACTATGTTTCCCATAGTGCCTTTCTCTATCTTGTCTCTGTTATGAATGACCTTAACGGACTGTTTCCCATGTTGCCTTTTGAGTACACCACTTCTGTTCCCTTAGCGCGGCTGAAGTCAAGTTTCTGCTTTTAGCTCAAGGGGATTCTGAGTCAAGCTTTTGCTCTTTTACCATCGGAGATCGGGAGATTTCTGTTCTCCCTGAGCTGGCATTGATAGGTGGTTTTGTTTTTGTTTTTGTTTCTTTCTTTCTTTCTTTCTTTTTTCCCCTGATATTATCCCCACAGCAAGTCAATCCTGTCTGTGTGCACTCAGACTGGTGTTTTAGTACCAGACGCAAAAACCCTCCAGGGCTTGCTTGCTCCTCCACCTTACCGAGTCAGTGAAGGAAAATGAAACTGAAGGTTTTTCAGAGATATTTTCTCCCAGATAGTTCTCCTCCCTCAGACACACAGGCCCCTAACGCAGCGGTAGCAGCAGCCACAGCCAAGGCTCAGTTTTATTGCTTCCTCCACACCAGCAGCTCCTCCTTGTCAGGGAAGAATCTGCCTAGCCAGACAGCAGAGCTCGCTGCTGCTCTCCGCCTGCACCTCAGTGTCTATGGCTAGGGTCTAGCTGCAGAGGAATTTCTGACTGCTATTTTTACTGGCTTGAAGGAAAGACTTGGAGAGAGGTTTTGCCCTGTTCCAAGAGGTGTGGGTTTGTTTTTTCTTAGAGCGAACCACAGGTGATTTTCCCATAGATGTTATTTCCTAGTGAAATAAATTTTGCTCTTAGAGAAAATCTGAGAAGCAAAGACCTGAAAACCTTTTTAGCTTTTTTTAGAGAGAGAAATTGCTAAGGTTTTCCAAGAAAGCTTTCAGTTTTTGAGAGAGACTACCAAGTTTTTCCCAAGACTTCTCTTCTCTAAACATCTGACTTCACAGTCAAAAGGTAACAGACCCTGTTTGAATGGTGTTGTACAAGTTTTCTCAGGCGCTGGCAGCAGAACAGACGGTGTTGCCTCTCCCATGTCCACCTCAGGGAAAATTCTTTCCTCTGTGGCTTGGGACTGTTCACAAGCCAAAAGCTTACATAGGAATCTTTTTCTCCCATTTTTTTCTCTTCTTTGATAGATTTTTCCCCCCCCCTCTGGTTTTTCCCCAGGATTTTGCTCTCACAATCCCATAGTTGGAAGTCAAAAACATAGTTCCTCTGTTTTGTTGCTTATCTTATCCTATGCTTTTTTTCTTGTGCTATATTCCTGCATTCTACTTTATAATTTTTTCTTTTTTATCCTAAGTTTTCTTTACAGTATATTCCTACCCTATCGTACATTTTGTCCTTAATTTTTATAGATAGAATAAGAAAGACTTTTTGATAGGGACATATATCTATGCCGCAGCCTCATGTTCCAACTTTGGCACTTTGCTGCCTAACCTTCACTCCTGAGAATAAAAACCCCTGCCTTATTTTTCACTACAAAACTGGACATGTCCAACTGCTTCTCACAGGGTCAACTCCCCAAGCGTTTGTCAAGTCCCTGGGTCCCTGTTTCTGGAGCCATCTGTGGGAGACCTGCTCCCACTTTTCCCCCCAGAGTACTCTTGAGCATGGAGAAGTAAGAAATATTTAGATAGAAATATAGAGGAGAAAGACAGATAGAAACATAGGATAGCCTCGGGAGGGCCCCAACCATCCCCTTCTGTCTCTTCTAACGGGCTATTTGTAGAAATGCCAAGGGTGGGAACAAAAGACCTCCCCCCTGCACAGGCAAGTGCAGTCCTTTCCAAATATCTGGTAATCACGCACATGGTCAATCTGTCCCTTCATGCAGCCCTGCTGTGTAAAGCAAGCTCAAATCTCAGTAGAAAACCTCTGTGGACCCTAACAATAGTTATACAGTAATGGAGATGCAAAGGAGAAAGGAGAAAGAGAGAACACTATGGTAGAGCTGAACATTTTCACTCATCCAAAATTGAAATTAAAATCGAAGTCCACAGTCAGGAAAATCAGAATGCCCTTTCATATTTTTATCTTTCTCTTCTTCTTGTCTCTAGTGGGTCACATGGCTATGGAAGAAAGCTGAGGTGAAATTGTAAATGTGTTTTGCTGTATTCTCTTTGCTTGGATTTAAGGAAATTTAGCTTTCATTCTTTTCCATTTCACAACTGTAAAATCAGCCTACAGAAGTACTGTTATTGCCAAGTAATGAAACAAATATGAGGAGATGACACTAAGACTTCTCAAAGACAAATTGAGGTGGAATAAAGATGTCCCATTATGACTGATCCAGGGTTTGAAAAGACCTGGGAGAAACAACAGCTTTAGGACATGACAGGATCACTACACTCATGAACTCATAGTAGCTGGGGCTGCTTACAGAAGACCTCTTAGTACTGTAGCATTCCCAGTAAAGCCAGGCAGGAGCTTCCAATACCACCTACTGAGAAGCTGACAGTCAATGGCTGCTGAGGGCAAGACAGTCTGTTTTCTTTAGTGGGGTGTCCCCTGGGAGGTCAACTGTACTCTACTGGATGGCCTCAAACCCACGAGTGCAAATCTGTCTTGGTGGGTTATTATATTAGTTACTTTTCTATTGCTATGATAAAACACCATAACCCAGGCAACTTATAAAGGAAGTGTTTAATTGGGATAGTGGCTCCAGAGGATAAAAGTCCGTGATGGTGAAGCCGAATCATGATGGTAGGAACATCTGAGAACTCACATCTCAAAATACAAGCAAGAAGCAGAGAGCACCCTAGGGATGACAGGAGGTTTTTGAAACTTCAAACTTACCCCCAGTGGCATGCCTCATCTAACAAGGTGTGTTAATCCTTAACTAATCCCTAATCTTTTCTTAACAGTTCTAAGAACTGTGAACCAATTATTCAAATATATCAGCCTATAGAGGCCACAATTGTTCCAACTACCACAGCTATGAAAAACAAAGTCAGAGCATATGAAATTGAGGTGGGGGTAGGGATGGATCACAAAAGGAGTGAAGGGTATAGGCAGTGGTTAATATCAAAATACAATGAATGTGTGTGTGTGTGTGTGTGTGTGTGTGTGTGTGTGTGTGTGTGTGAAATCCTCAGTTATATTAAAACTGTTACATAAAAACATTATATTAATCCCAGCATTCGGGAGGCAGAGGCAGGCAGATCTCTGTGAGTTCGAGGCCAGCCTGGACTACAGAGCAAGATCCAGGAAAGGTGCAAAGCTACCCAGAGAAACTCTGTCTTGAAAAACAAACAAAAAATATTAAATATGAAAACATGAGGGGTATCCTAACCACATATGAGGAAATCTGTATCTTAGCTAATTTTCAATAACCATTTGCAAACTTTTACCATTTACTTGTAATAAAGACAAGAGTGCTGAGTGGGGTATTAGTCTTCATCAGTCTTTTTCTTTCCATGTTCTTTAAGCGATTAGCAGTAGGCAGATTCGTCTGGTGCACTGCTGCATATGTCTTTTGGAGCCGGGGTGTACGGTCTCTTGGCCCTTCTTGAACAGGTCCTTCTCTTACTCTTATCATTAGGTAGATGTGAAATCAAATATTTTCATTAGCATGCATGCTCAACAGGAAAGAGTCTAACAAGTCAGGGACACTATCAAATATTAATTTTCACTAAAATTTTACTTTTACTTTTGTTCATGTAAAAAGATACAGGAAGAGATAGAAGGTTTTCATTAATATTTAGGCCTGGCTTGTTGTATTAAAAATGTTTTCACACTGCATTTACATCTGAGAGCGCATTTATTTTAATATGAGTACATTTGTTATATAAGACATAATTATGTAAATTAAAATGTCTAAATTATTCTAGAGACTAAATTCCTTTAGCAGATGAAAGATTACTACATTTAAAAAAGCAGCATGTATGCACATGAGTGGGTATACACACACACACACACACACACACACACACACACACACACACAGGAGCACACACATACCATAACCTTCCTTCCACTTCTCTGTCAAGGAGTACAGAGGCACTTCCTGTATTATTTGAGGAGAGCTTTACTAGACTCCTCTTTCCACCTGTATCTTTACACACATCATCCACTTGCTCCCTGCCTGCTGCCTATCCCCATTTAGTGAAGATTGTGAAAATCAAGGTTCACAGGAATCAGTCAATAATACTCTGGTTCTCTTTGTATTTACTACATGTGTGACTTCATTTCCTAGTTCTTGGAGTGTAGGAGGAGGCCCTAAAGATAGTTTCTATATGTATTTGAATCATTGCAGTTTAAGAATAAATAGCCAGGACTGATTTGCAGCCTGATACAGTAAACATACCTATCCTAGTAAAATGGGAGAAGGGGTAATGAAGGCTGAGCCCTTTTTTGCTATCTATATATCTATTCATCTATCTATCCATCTATCTATCCATCTATCTATCATCTATCTATCTATCATTTGTCTACCTACCCACTTACCTACCTATTCATTTTTTAATGTTGACTAAAAAGGAAAACCTGTACTAACTGCAGCCCTGCCCTTCACATTTACAACCTTCTCAAATCACTAAGATAATCTGGTACAAATATTGTTGTTTTTATCATCCTTCTTTAGCTGGTCAACCCCAGGGGAGAACAAACACCTCAATCCAGGCAGCAGAGTCAAGGGACAGGAGAAGGTTGCCGGTCCTGAGCTCCCTGTTGTTGCCTTCTGGCTGGACAATCGGTGCCAAATAGCGCCCAGGGAAACAAACAGCAATAGAGAACGCGATAGATGCGGTTGATGCACGTACAGAACCACAGTTTCACCGAAAAGGAGAGTGGAGGAAGGTGACAGGCTGAGAGTCAGCATCTGGGAGCCTCAGCAGTGGAACCAGCGGCGATGTGTGCACGCACAGGTGCCACAGGCCTGGCGCCCAGAGCTCTGTCTTTGCAGCCTCCCAGCTCAGCACAAGCGGCAGCTTGCTGAAACTGCAGCCGCGGCAGAGCGTGGGTATTCCCAGCCACCTCCACCCGAGGAAGAGCCAAAGGAAAGGGCGCGAAGGGGGAAGCATGGCGTGGCAGGGGGTTGGGGCAAGACCCACAGGCTCATCTCGGTGCTCCTCTGGTGAGAACCTGTACTCGGCATCTGTGCTCCTCCCTTCTCTTCCCAACTCTCAGTGATCATCTCCATCTCCCCTCGCGCATCCCTTCCCCCCCTCCTGGCTTTCTTTGCTCTCCCTCCTTGCCTCGTGCCTGCTCCCCTCCCCCTCGCCTGGCTGCTCTGGGCAGCAGCAGCCTCAGCAGCCCCGGAGATGGGCAGAGAGCGCGCGGGGCGCTGCAGCTCTGGAGCAGCGGCTCTCCCCGCCCCCGGTGCCCTGCGCCCCTGCTGCCGCTCTCGCCGCCTGGCTGTCCCCCGACTCCAGCTCTGCTTCTAGGACAGCGCCGCCACCGCCGCAAGCCCTCGTCCCGCCGGCGCGGCGCTACCCTCTCGCGCCCTGGATGGCGCTTTCCCTCGTTGGGATGGAACTGGTGAGTACCAGAGAGTCCAGGGTGTCAGGCACAGGGCTGAGCTCCCACAGAACATCCTTAGACGCGAGAGGCACCCCAACCACCTGCTGGGAGTCCTCTTGGCACAGGATCTCCAGCAGGTCTCCGGGGACGTTTGGTTTCAACTCCATCAGCCGGGAACCTGAACCCTTTCTCTTCCAGAGATAGCTGATTGTAGATCTTAGTCTCTCGTCACCCTTCGGCCCTCTGGCTGCTACCCTCACTCTCGCTGCAGACAGCCCCTGCCTGGCCTCACTTCGAACAGGGTCGTTGCTGCCCTCATCGTCCCCATGTCTTTCTGAATTCCCTCTTCTGCCGCGCGCTGTCGCGCGGACCCAGCTTTCTCCAAGAAGTCCTCCCCTGACCCGCCTCCCCTCAAAGCCTGACCACAGAGCTACCGGTCCTGCCGTCCCGTTCCTTCTCAGAGTGGGTAGTCTTAGTGAATTCTGACCTCATTCTCTCCACATGATGCTGCCTCCCAGCTTTTCTGACACTCACCTCAAGACTGACACTGACACGGGGTGATCCTCCCTTCTGTGTGTTTGTGTCTCTGCACCTGGACTGTTCAGGGGATGATCAAGCATGAAAAGGGAAGGGCAAAACCAGCAAACCTTGTGGGACTAAACTTTTGTCACTGTTTCAAAGTGCACAACTATTTATTTACCTTGTTTAGATTCCTTCTTGTCTGCGGGCTTGTTGGCTGGGTACAGGAAAGGCACCTTATTTTACCTGTTTTTCCAGAATCGGTCTTTCTTTCAGGTCTAGGGCAGAACATCCACATAGCCCAGTTGTGAATCGCCCTCAGCCACGCCGCCACCCAAAGCTCATCAACTCTTGAGGTTAAGCAGATTTTTCTTGAAAGAGGACAGGGTGGCAGCAGAGTTAGCCTTTGGAATCGTTTTCTGAAATTTCAATAAGCCAAAGCCCTATTGCTTTTTGCGTTTAGTGCCTAAGAGGGGAACGTTGTGCAGACGACCTCCACATCATGCTCTTCAGGTGTGGTGTAGTCTCTTGCCATCACTATGGGATTTCTGTATGAGCTTCCTGAGTGCAGCAGCTTTTCCTGCTAAAACCAGGTTCCTTGTGTTTGTGGTTGGCTTGAGGGAGAAGAGGCATTGTGTTCAGTGACTGAATCTGACTAAGAGGGGATAAAGGAAGGAGGGAGATAATTTAAACACTGCAATTTGTATCAAGATTTCTGTGTACTTATTATCTTAAAATAAGGCCCCATACAACTTACGATTTACATTTTAACAACTTGTAAAATATTAATTTTGAGGTGGCATTTTACTGCACAGAACTCCTGAACATAGGGTTAATGCTTGAAACCTACAGTTAGGAGTATTCAAAGAAACAGAAGAAAGTTTGAAAGGTACCCTATTTAAGCATGGGCTGTGTAAATACAAGTTTCTTGATATTTCTATAAGCAGTTTCAGGGGGAAAAGACTTGAATTGACATCCTCACCTTTGCAGCTGATGGAGAGGATGTGTCCTATCCTCTTTGTGAAGAGGCAATTCTTGCTTTACAAAAAATAGAAGGGAAAGTCAATCAATTGTATGAGGAGTTTGTTTAGCAAGGATTGCCTTAAAAAATCCCACCTTTTGCATTATTAGGCATTTTACTTCATTTTGTTTTCTTTGTACTTCCCTGCCTTGTGTGGTCTGGGTAGGAGCACAGTGACCAGCAGTGGTTGTCAGTAAATGTGTTCAGCTCTATCAAAACTCCCGGGGGCCATGAGTACTAACTTTACTCTTGGTTTTCTAAATATGGAAATTTGCTTAATTACATGTAGTGTTGAACTAAGAAGAACACTCAAAACCATGTATTTAAGTTTGCAATTGCTGCAGATGTTCATGTATAAAATGTTGTGTGGACAATAAGTGAGTTAGAAGCTGAATCAAAGGATCTCTTAATTTTCCCTCCAGAGATATTTACCTTTTGTGTAGTAATAGGGTAATTTATATGTATAGTATATCCCAAAATAACGAGTCTTCACTAAAAAAATAGATTGCAATTGGACAAAGTAAAGGAAGGAGTAATGCTGTCTGCTCTGTTTTTGTGATAAGCGTAAGTTCAAATCAGTATATTCTAACATAATTCTAATTCCTGTCACAATATTAAAATTGTCTCAGAATTATCTATGAACATGCAAATTAATTTGTCATAAAGTATGGCAAAGATTTCTAAGAATTCCTTTATTTTACTTATTTTTATTTTTCAAGAATTCTTATAAAGAACTCAAGAACCTCCCGGATTTAAAGTTCCTGTAGTTAGTAAGACTATGCAAAACAATCAAATAGAACAGGTGAAGAGACAGGTGGACTGATATTGGACTGGTACATTGTTGAGTATGTAATGTTCTTAATTATGTACCATCAAGAGGCCAGGCCTAAAGTAAATATTTGCCTTGGAAAAACATATTAACAATTGTGTAAATGACATAGGTATTTCATCAACAAGTTGTCATTAGTTGAATGCTCCATGTGAATTATTTTACTGAGAGTACAAGGTAAAAAGAGAAAAAGGCTAAGGAAAAGGAAGCATGGAGGGAAAATAAAGAAACTGGGATAGTGGCTTGAAACCATTATTAAATGAGGAAAACTGAATACAGTTCCTATTATGGTGGTGCTTTAGGTAACAGCGGTTTTCCAACTTGATTTTTTAGAAGCCTCTTAATTTCAGGAATAAAAAATGCAACATTTTTTTCTTTTTAATGAAGTGGTTATTTAATTTCTTTCTCTAAAATTTGAGGTTCAAAGGCAAATTCAGGTAAACTACCTAATTGAACTAAATTCTAGACAAATTTTAAACCAAAACTTAGGACAATGAATATATAAACTAAATGAATATATAAAACCGAAGTTTGCAATATCTTGTGCTGGTTTACAATGTTGGTGGATGTCTCTTTCAATTTTATTTATATTTGCACTTTATTTAAACACACAGTAGTCTATATATTATAACATACAAATTTTATGAGTTCAAAAAGCAACCAATATCATGAATAATAAATCATTATATAAGCATTCATAATAGTTTTTGTTTCTAGCCTCAGTCTATACAGTAATATTTAACAGCAAGCCTTCTCAGGGAACAAAATAGAAATAACTTCAAAACTAGCATAGTGATCCACCAAAGTTTGAGTTTTCTAAGATGCGTGATTAGGATTCCTATGTAAATAAGCATTTCCTTTGATCTCTTGCCACGTGCCAATAATTCCAGTATTTAGGAGGCTGAGGCAGGAAGGTCATGAGTTCAAGGTCAACTTGGTCTCACTCAAAACAACAAAACAAAGGCACGCACTGACAAAAGACATATACATTCTGTGCTATGGCTTGAGTCTGCTTGAAATATAACTTGATTCATTTAATTGCAAATGAAATGACTAGTAGAATTTAGATGGTGATTAGAGGATTTGAAGGACATTCCATTGCCATTGTTTTGATTATGATTTACCTAAGGTTCTGAAGTAATAGATTCAGAATTCGAATCCAAGTCTTCTCTCTCCATGTGGTGTCTATCTTTCTATGGCACTAGAATAAGCCCCTCATTTGTAAGGTAGGGTTATTCGGTTTCAGCATTAAAGAAAACAGGAAGCTAAACACAACGAAAGGTCCTTTCTGCTTCAGAGTCCAACTTGGTGTTTAATCTTTAATCACCACAGTTGCTGACAACCATGCCTCCTGACATGTTTTTGTCACTTTATTGTTAAACCTTGGCAAACATTTCAAAATTATACAGTAACCGAGCTACCCAAAATATTTCATTTTATTTTTCATTTTCTCATCAATTATGTACTTACACAGTATAAGTTTATTTTACAGTAGTAATATACCACAGGCATTTTCTATTTTACTTCTTAGAAACAGTTGATTAGAAGATGTTCCGAAAGCAGACACTAGCTTCTTTAAGTGAGGAACAGAACTGAATTTGTAGTTTCATCTGTGTGTTTACTTAATTTTTATTTCACCACAAAGAAAGTTTACACATCTATGTGCTTATTTTTCACTTTGATGTTTGTGTCCCATAGACTAAATGGCTTGGGTAGTCAGGGAAGAAAAATCTGTTTCACAAAGTTCAAAATCAGTTCTGATAATCCTGGCCTCCGTAAATTTCTCTTCATTGACAGGGGGCAACAGGAAAGTGAAAGAATATGTCAATAAGGTGCTGTCCTTATTACTGGCTAAATAATAAATTGTCAGATACATTCTCTCTTGGACATGGTGGATCATCTTTGCAAAGAAAAAGAATGAATATGTAGATAACTCAGTAATCACATGGAACAATATCATAGTGTCTGAATGTGGCTGGATTGGAGGTAGTTAGCAGAATCAGCATGCTGGATTGCTTGGTGGCTTGCTCAACAGATGATGAACCAGGCTTGAAGGGTCCCTTGTTAAAGGAATTTGTCTTTGAGCCCTTTAGAAGGCAAATTTGTCTAACAGAAGAATTGCATTTCTAAGGTTTCCATGACCTAATTTCTTTGCAGTGCAGTTCATCCTTCATTAACTGAGATCTTACTATACTGTAAGATCAGATGTGATGAATATAAACAGATGAAAGAACATGACATAGGCTCTGACTTCAGACATATTACAGTTTAGCTTGAGAGGCAGCTTATAAATGAGAAAGATTGATGAAATACTGACTGCCCTTAAAGTAAGGCATGCATATCTTCTTGGAAGAGATGATCCAAGAAAAATTAAAAAGAACACAACTTGAGCAAGTCTTCATTGCATTTAATTGAGGGCGAAGATATGCCATTATTAAGGCTTGATATGAAATTAATATATTTCCTTGAAAGCATATGACTTTGTTGCTGCCTATACTTAAATATAATGTCAAAAAAGTTCTGACAATACAGACATTTATTATGCTATTGTAAACAAATATATCTGCATATTTATAATCCTTACAAATAAACACGTTTTGTAATTAGGTCACAAGGTAAATTTCCAAGGGAAATGTAACTAATTTGTAT